ACACATGGTGTAATAGTGTTAGATGTCGGCTAAAGTAACCCTAGCGTTTTCTTGTTTGGCTAAGGCAATAATACCATTTATGACTCGGTAGGAATTGATGGCAAGCTGCATTGGGTTCAACTCATAGTAATGGATTATCTCACGGAAAATGATATTGAGTGGGAGTCGAAGTCTGTACTCGATAAAAGCTACAGCAGAGAAGGGTATAGAATCTGTTGTGGGCATGATAGAGTCATCCTTCCCAGCCAACCTCAGATGAACGTCGGTCGGGATGTCAACTCTCGCCTAAAGTGCTTTAACTTGGTCGGGGTGTCTACCCTATGCTTCCATATACCCATGATATCGGCTTAACTAGAGCAGTTGGATTTCAGAAGGGAGTGTTTTAGAGGATTTTAGGGACCTCGGCTAAAGCCTAAAAATACACAGAATCTGTGGGGAATCGTTTCAGTTTTTCCTAAAAATTCGTGGGTTCTACAAACAAATCCCAAACCTAGATCTATGGAAACGAAGATTGAAGGCACGAATCTAGAAAAGTCACAAAAAACAGAAAAGCAAGAACGTGTTTCAGAATCAAGAACAGTGATGAACTATCAAGAAAACTGTGACAAAATGTGCACAAGGGCACGAGGCCAAAGACAGTGGCAAAAGTGAGCAAATTTTTGAACAGTGTGTGCGTATTCAAGACATAAATTGGGCAGAAAGAAAATCGTAAGGTAAACGTGCTCGAATACATGATTCATAAATCGAATACTTGAGCAAAACAACAATGGCAACAAATAATGAAGCGAAACTTCTTGAAGAGCAATGAGAAATTGAAATAAGAGGGAACTGTGACTTACTTAAGAAAAATGAAGCCGAAGTAAATTTTCGCCGGGATCAAGCGGTAGCCGGAAACAAGGAAATACGGCAGAAACCTCGCCGAAGGAGAGAGTCAGGCTGGTTACAGAAAGCTTCGTAAAAATAGTAATGGAGGATTTAGAAGAAAAAGCTAGAGAGAGAAAAAGCTTCAGAAATTACGATGTCAAGTGAAAAGACGAAGAGAGAGGACACAGGTTTTGTCAAAAACGCGAAAAGGCGGCAAAATGGAATTGATGAGCCTAGAACGACGAATTTGTCAGACGGCACACGCAGGCGCGAGATGACTTACGGGCGTGTATCAGGTACGACCCAGTGAGGGGAAGATGCATGGCAGAAACGGTTGATTTGTTTTGCATAACAGCTCACACACGTGATAAAACTCTTGGAGTTCTTGGTTTAATGAAGCAATGACATCGGCTGATAGGAAATTCTAAAACCTTGATGAGACAAGATTACAAGACTTGATTGTGTGAAGCAGATGTATTGTGACCTCGGTAAAAGGATAATACAGCGAGACGGCCAACATGCTATATGACATAAAGATATAGGTTCCATCACCTCAGGATGCCGAGGTAATAGAACCTAGAGGACAGTTGTGGGGATATATTTTCTGAGTATCAACACGTGGCTAAGGTGACGCCGACATGTCAGCCGAGGTGCCACGTGTCGCCGAGGTGATCTCGGCTAGGCCGAGGTTATTTCCGAAGATATTGGAATCTGGGATAAGCGGATAAGGGACAAGAGTCTTAGAATGAGGAAGAACTTCAGTATGGATAAGATAAAGCTCTTAGGGAGTTTATCTTTATCTATTGAAGAGTCCAGGATAAGCACAGAGCTAAAGTCCATTGAAGCAAAGGCTTCTATTGGGACTAGGTTTGTGTTGGCTATAAAAGAGAGGCACCCCCATAGGTCTAAAGTATGTTTTTTACGTTCTGAACAGTGAGTTAAGCACTTGATTTATCTTTGAGAGATAACTAACTTGATCGTCGGAGTACCCCCGGGTGGACGAACCACCGTCGGAATCTCTTCTTGCTGTTGCAGGTCGTTCGGGCTTAATCTATTCTGCCGGTGTTCTCCAGCTGAGTACTTAGTTGGCAGTGTGGTCGGAAATTGACACACACAGAGGTGATAAGAGAGTTTTAAAATTTTTAATTTATCTAATGTGATAAATATATATTTTTTCTTATATATTTCATGTGGATTTTTTTTCTCTCCCCTATTTTGGCTAGAAAAAATGAGATGAGAGAGGAAGTAGTGCCACCTCATTTTTTTATCTCTCAAAATTATGAGAAATTAAGATTAAATAATTGAGAGTCTGTGAGCTCCCATTACATTTTCTTATATAGATAGTACTAGCGGTAACTCGTGCGATGCATAGGAAAATAAACTATGTATATTTTGTGTGATAAATAAATCATCTTAATCTTAAATTATGTCTATGCATAAAAAATTATTAATTATAAAAATTGTTGAGAATAATAGTATCGTAATCACTTGATAACATAAATAACTTGTATCAAACTAAACAAAACATTAAAAGAGAGGAATTTTATAAACTCATAAAATTTATCATAAATTTACTTGGACTTTTAAATCAATGGTGTATATTATTATTGTGTGATCAAATTATGAATAAATATCAACTTTTAATTATAATTTATAAGTAGTTTTTTTTAAATTTTAATCTAAGTTTGTTGTCTTGCATATAAAAAGAACTTCTCAAACAAATCATTAATTGATTATGTTAGCAACTCTCTATTTTCATTTCCTCTCTCAATGACACACGCATATCATATCAAAGTATAAATCATTCTTCATAGTTTGAATAATACTTGCATAGTTTCTACATCAATTTAAAAAAATTAATCAAGATAAGAATTTTGTATGATTATAAAAATTATATAAGAAAATAGTTTTAATTCATTTTATATATAAAAAAATGATGAAAAATTATTTGAATTGTACTTGAAGAAATATAACAAATGATAGCTTTAATCATTATATATCCAAAAAAAAAATGATATAGGTTACTCAACAAAAAAATGATCGAATACAAATAAAGTCATGAACATTGAATTAAATCATATGGGCTCTAAATTGATAGTATAATCTAGCAAATCAACTAATAATAATATAGAGATATTGACCAATATGTAGTACTTCCCTATCATCTTTATATTATATTCATTAATTTCATATATCATATAAAAGTTTTATTCGTTTTGATCCTTCAATAAAATAAGGACCAAGAAAACAAATTTGATAGGAATTTAACTCTAAACTTTATTATTGAAAAAAACAAAAATTTCAAAGAGAGAATTTAGTGATGGAATTGAAGAAATACTATAACGAATGACAGCTTTATAAAAAAAATAAAAAAAATCTAATGCAAACTATTTTTAATAACTATTAGAAAGAATATCAAATTATTACCTTGTATAAATATAGTGACAAAAATTAATTTTGTGAGATTTTTGTTCTGTCTTCTCCCATGCAGCCTTAATTATTTCATTATTAATACTCTTCTCATTCAGAGCCAACCAATTTTATTATTAATACTCTTCTCATTCAGAGCTAATAATTTATTTATTTTTAATCTTTATCACTTGGTAGATAATAACGAATAATAAAAATTATCAAGAGAATGGTGAGAATTTATTGGGAGATAAGAAGTTATAGATAAGGACATTTCATTAGATAAAAAATTTTAAATAAAAAAAAGATAATGTGTGATAGAAGGAGAAAAAAAATATATGAGTAAATCAAAATAAAGATTTAGATATTTATGTTTTTGATAAATATATAGATTAACAACTCATATCTTTATCTAAATTTTATTATTTTAATTTTTTGTAAATCAATTATTTAATCTTTATCTTTATTTGTAGGCCACAAAATTAATCTTTATAAATTATTTATCAATTTTTATATGTTTGTTTATCTATAAGTCATGAAATTAATTTTTTCAAATAATTTTTTTAAAATTTTTATCTTTATATAGTCATGAAATAAATTTTCATAAATTATTTATGAATTTTTATATGTTTATCTATAATGAAATTAATTAAAGTACAAAATGAAGGGGAAAGGAGTAATTTCATTTTTTTAAAATCAATTATTTAATCTTTATCTTTATTTGTAGGCCATGAAATTAATTTTTATAAGTTATTTATCAACTTTTATATGTTTATTTATGGAAAGAAATTTTAAATTATATATAAGTTATGAAATTATTTTTTTTTAAATTAATTGTTTAATTTTTATCTTTACCTGTAGATTATAAAATTAATTATCAGTTTTTATATGTTTATCTATATGGAGGATTCTCATTCAGAGCCAACTAATTTCATTATTAATACTCTTCTCATTCAGAGCTTATAATTTTTTTTTTAATCTTTATCACTTGGTAGATAATAACGAAAATAAAAATTATCTAGAGAAGCTTAAGAATTTGATAGGAGATAAGAAGTTATAGATAAGGGCATTGCATAAGATTAAAAAAAAAAAGAAAAAAAAGAAGATAATATGTGATAGAAAGAGAAAAAAATACGAGTAAATCAAAATAAAGATTTAGATATATATGTTTTTGATAGATATATAGATGTGAAAGTTCCTTTAGAAATAAATGTTGCACTTTGCACTCTTAATTTTTAAGATAATTAGAAAATATAGTGAAAAATAGGTGCAAAGTGGTACTTGTACAAAACTGTAGGGCACAAACTACAAATTTGTATTTGACAGGATTATAAAGTGCAAAGTAAAACTTTTATTTTACAGGGGACAAAGTGTAACTTTTTTAAAATTATAGGGTCAAAGTGCAATTAAACTTTTTTTCTTTTACTTTTTCGGTGCTTTAATAAATGTACACTTATATAATACTAGTGGGTGACACACACGATGCGTGTGCAATTTAAATAAGTAGGAATAAAAAAAATAATAATAAAATTAATATTATAATGTGTACTTAACTTAAGTAGTATGAGTCCTTATATTTAAACCTATGATCATGGGTTCAAACCTTACCCATCTCAATACTGTCGTATGACATGAGAAGAGTAAAACTTCAGAGCATATAAGAGGTGTTCACCTTATAATAATAGTATAGGTAGATATAATAATAGTATAGATAGGTAGATATGTGCACCTGTAAATTCACCATCACCGCAGACAAATGTTTTGTAAACTGAGGCGGAAGGAGAAGAAAAAGAGTCGTGTTTGGCTGGGAGGAAAAAGGAAAAGAAAATGTCGAAGAGCGACGTGGAGGAGGAGCAGCATGAGGAACTGCGACGCCGAAAGCTTGAAGAAGCCCTTGAAGTCAAATCTCTTCGACGTATTATCAGCGCATACCTCAAGTATATATATATATATATATATACATATATTCACACTCTCAATTTATCATAATCTTATTTGTGATCAATTACTAAGAAGCCTCACTTCAAAGAAGTATTGTATTCTACTAGTGATTTGTGAATGCTTTAATGTTTCAATTATTGATTGCACTTCTGTAATGACTTCAACTTGAGTTGTAGCTTGATTATGGGATTTGGGTATGTTTTTAGTATGTAATGTTTATTCTTTCATTAACCCTACTAGAAGGAGTTTATTTTTTTTTTATAGGGCAAATCCATTTTGTCCTCGTTGTTTAATTTCGGAGCTGTTTCCCTCGGCTTTTTTTAAAAAGGCCAAATACCTGTTTTGATCATTTTGTATTTCCAAATTATTGTTTGAAACACACCAAAATTGAGCGTTGACATGAAAAAAAATTCAATCAAAATTAAAATATAATATAAAAATTTAAATGACAATGTACCCTTATCTTCATCTTATTTCCAAAAACCCTAACCTGATTATCTTCTCCCTAAAAACCAAACCCTAACCCTAGCCACCCTCCATCCTCCCCCACCTCTCATGCCACCGCCTCCCTCCTCCCTATTGATTTGCACCCACGGCCACTAATTGCCATCACATTCATGTCCACAGCATTAGCAAGACATGGCACTAGTTCAAAGCTTACCATTTGCACACCATTCATTTATATATATATATATATATATGTATGTATCTTCATTTGGTTTGTTTTCTTGTAAATCTTTTTTTGATATGTTTATTGATGATCCAATTGCACATTTTTTTTTTGTTCCTCATGAGATGATTTGGGATGCTATTAGGTCTCTTAAAGTTAAAAGTTTCTGCATGTTATTTGGCTCACAAGGAGCTCAATACCAATGTATGTGTTTGGTTTTATTTTTTTGGATTAAGTTTTTGAAAACTGAGTTTTCTGTTTTTCGTTTTTCGTTTTTTTTTTAGTAAATATTTTTAAAATTTTAAGCATTTTTTTTCCCTACTTTTTTAGATACACCTTACTTAGATGTATTTAAAAAGTAAAAAATTTGTGAAAAAATATTTTAAAAATTAATAAATACATAAAATATACTGAATTCTTGTATTTTTTTTTTATATTTTTGATATTTAGTGAATTTTTAAAAAACAAATTTATATTTTTTTACTTTTTAGGTGTATTTATATTAGGTGGGTCTAAAAAGTAAAAAAATTACTTAAAATATTAAAAAAATTCAATAAAAACAAAAAAATATGAAAAATAAGAAAAAAAATATAATATTGTACCAAAAAAAAAAAACACCTACTACACATGTAACCAAACACCCCGAAATGGGTTTACAATATCTAACAGCTTCTTCTAAAAAATCTCATATAGGGAGTCATTTGCCTCCTTGATTGATAAGTGTGGGCCATCTGTTGTGGTTGGGTGTAGCACTTCTTTTGTCGTGTTATGTACACAAAAGAATGATTTACAAGAATTAACTGGGGTTCACACCTCCTTGTACAAGTCAAACAATACAAGCCTGAGCGAATCAGACATAAAAAAGCAAACACCCCAAGGCCTTAACACCCAAGAGATCAAGAGGGGTAACCCCCCCGAACCTAATGCCAGAAGAGACCAAGACAGTATGACCACGTTTGTTTGGTGGATTAGGTTAGATGTGATTGTTAGTGAGGAGATGGTTAGTGAAGAGATTGTTAATGTGTGGGTTATTAGTGAGAAGATTAACTGAAAGTGTGTTTGTTTTGATAATATATTGTGGGAAATAGTTAGTAATGAGATTGTTAAGTTATTTTTATAAAAAATAGGTAGATATAATAATAGTATAGATAGGTAGATATGTGCACCTGTAAATTCACCATCACCGCAGACAAATGTTTTGTAAACTGAGGCGGAAGGAGAAGAAAAAGAGTCGTGTTTGGCTGGGAGGAAAAAGGAAAAAGCACTGTTCCGGACATCTGGACGGACGACCGGAAAGACTCAATCCGCTCACTGTTTTCCTAATCTCACACTTTACCCAGCCAAGCTAATCCCCCTACTGAGGAGGATTACTAAGCCACTCGCACTATCAAGCTGCCCTCCCAAATCATCACCAAACACGCTGTGGGGGGAACCCACAGCCATCCTAGTCCAATCCGACTGCTAAAGCGGCGAAACAAACGTGACCTAAAGTTAACAAGATCTCATGACGACTCGCACCCTAGAAAACCTACTTTTGAGACACAAGTCGATCCTGTCTAAATTAGATCATCCTCATTTGGACCATAGGAATGGACATGATTCATCCGCAAGAGGCCCTAGCACTATGATAAAGCATAGCAACAACACTAATAGAGCCATGCTCGACATGAATATAGCAACCAATTGCTTCTGTGAATGTTGCACCAATATAACTCTCATAAGTCATAATAGACAGGAAACTGAAAAACGCAAAGTATCACTTGCCCCTCATTCATATTCACATTCTGAACTCTGGACAATTAAGATTCTTCTTAGAACCCTGCAAGTTTGGGGAAAATGAAAAATTCTTCTTCTCAACTGTAATTTTTATTAGTAAATTCTCATACTAATCCATTTTGCCATCTGATTTTTTGTATGTTTGGATTTTCCTTCAATGAATCTCAACTTTCTGAAGTTCATTTTTTTTTTCTTTCTATCCTCAATGAGCAAGATTATAAGGACAAAATAGTATTGCTGACCCTATCCCCTGATTTTTTGAAAACTTTTCTTACAGTTATCCAGATGCTGCAGAAGATGATGTAAAAAGATATGAAAGATCTTTTGCAAGGCTTCCACCTGCCCACAAGGTATCCTACTTCTCTACTTGTCTAAGAGAACTTCGTTACCATAAATTATAACCAAAATATTTCATATGAAATAAAATACAATTCTGCCTAACTATTATCAATATAGAGAGGGCTTAATTGGCTGGAATTAAATCTGGCTTCTTTGTAGTTGGCCAGATTTCTTTCGTCCGTATTGTTACCACTATACTCATTTCATGGCCTTTCAGCCTTTTTTAAGGTCTTATTTTGCAAAGTTTTTAAGGGTTTCCACTGTTAACTCTCACGTGGCATTCATCTGTTTCTCTCAATGTCATCAATATTGTTTTCTTTTTTCCTTCTTTTTTTTTTTTCTTCTTTTCTTCTTTTCTTCCAATCCTCTTTTTCTCCAAGAGTTCTATCCTTGGTTTTTTTTTCTTTTATTTATTTATTTTTTCCCACTCCACTGCTATACATTAAAGTTGCTATGCACTGTTTTTCTTCTTACCTATGTTTTCATGTGGTGTTGCATAATATTATTTCATCTCTCAAACTATGTATCTAATTCTGAATATTTAATGCAAAAAAAGAAGTGGCTATGGCAAACTACTGTTATATTCCAATTATCAGGCAGGCTTGTTGGCTAAAGAGAAGCTTCTTCTAAAGAATCTCATATAGGGAGTCATTTGCCTCCTTGATGGATAAGTGTGGGCCTATTGTTGTGGTTGGGTGTAGCACTTCTTTTGTCTTGTCTTTTGTTGTTCTTGACATGTATGAAGGCTGTCTTTTTCTTCAATGCTTTGTTGCCCCCTTTTGTTCTATATTATATTCATATATCTCATCTCCATCCCCACCCTTCCGCCTTAAAAACAACACCCAAATAGTACACATTAATGTGTGTTTGGGAGGGGAAAGATTGTCAATATTATATTTTTGGGAATAAGGATTTTTTCTTTTAATATATGTTTTGATATCATATGTAAAGTCATGTTAGTGGCCATAATAGTGTTTCTAATGTGCTAAGTGTCTTGAAGAATCCTATACTTGGGTTTTCTTCCATTGGAAACTGATATATTTTACATGCTGTTTTTGCAGGGTCTGCTGTCCCACCTCCCAGTAAAATTTCAAAGACTGAGATGGTATATTTTCCTCAACTTATTTTCTGCTATGAACTGTAGAATATATTGCATACTACATTCACAATAACGCTATGCTAGCCTAATTGGGAGAGAGATTTTCTTCGAATGGTAATAATCATAGGCCATTACCTTAGTGAGATACACATAAATCTTGATAAAAAAAAAAAAAGTCTGTTTCCTAGTATTAAAGAAAAATCAGAGTGAATTGTATTTGCCACTAAACAAGCCAAAATAGAAGAAGATAGCCCAAAGTTGAATAGCATTGGATTATATGGGCCCCGTTTGGTGTAGCTGTTAAAACAGCTTATAGATTATAACTTAACAGATTATAGATTATGACTTTAATTAGAAGTTGTTAATCTGTTTGGTGTAACTATTAGATTATAGATTTAAGTTGCTGAGTAGTGTTTGTGCCTGTTTGGCAGAACTTAAAAGTAGCTTATTTCAGCTTTCAGCTTAATTTAAGCTATTTTGATGTGTTTGGTTTAGCTTATAGCTTATAGTGTATAATTTTTTGGAAGTCAGAAATCAACTTATTCTTTGAGTGGGGCAGGAGATGCTTAATTTATAAGTTAGAAATCAGCTTATGTTCATAGTTATAAGCTATAAGCTGTTTAGACATAAGCTATAAGCACTTTCCCACAGCTCTACCAAACAGGTAGCTTTTTCAATTAATTTTTATTTTTTGTTTGCCTATATTTCTCATAAAAAAAAATAATAATAATCTATAGTCCATTTGGGTATTTTTCTATTTTTAAAAAAATAAAAAATAAAAAAATTTATGAGTATAACTATAAATTAAAATGTCCACAGCAGAAGCTGATAATTAGAAGTAAGGGGTGAGCAGTTTCTCAGAATCAGCTTTTTTGAGTTAAAATAAGCTGTTAGAATCAGAAGCTATTTGAAATAAGTTTAACCAAACAGTCCAAAATAACTTTTTCAAAACTAAAAGCCATAAGTTAGTTTTGAAAAGCTGAAACAAACACCCCCATGATGACACGCTTATTATTTCATTGAACATAGAACTTGATCAACAGCATATTTATGTCTTCTTTCACAACCATTCTCATGTAGAACAAATAAGTTTAATTTAAGGGAAAAAATAAGCTACGAAATGCTAAAATTCAGGCAGAAGATGTCATTTCATTTGGGAAGGCAAAGAGACTGAACTAAGCATGGTGCCATATATACATATGTGGCTAACTTTTTAAGGTGCATGAAACATGGGCAATTCTTTTAAAAGAGCATGTCTTGGCAATGAGGCATCTACTTACCTTGCTGACTTAAATACCCTTTCTATTATGGGTTATTGACATGTATTTTATCGCTTTTTTCCGGCTTTCTCCCTTAACTTTTGGGGCTTCATTTCTGTACTCATATCCGTTTGTATCATATGACATATGATCCCTTCTGCTAATGGTCGATACTATAAAGCTAAGGGGCCCTTATAAAAACATACATATCTTTTAGCGACTCTTGTTTTATATGTACATACATTTAGTATTTTTGGTTAGGATATGGAAAAAAAATGCGCAGCCAATTATATGCTAGGTATTAGAATGTAACTTTAGCACAATAACATCTTGGAAGATTCTAATCACATTGGTGTCCCTATGCTGCAGGTGTATTTCAAAAAATTCATTTTTCATATTTAACATGCTTCAGGTGATTTGCAGCTCTATTTTTTATTTCCTGCTTTTTTCCCCTTTCTGTTTATTTTTTATAGAGAATGTTTTCATACTCCTGTGGAAGAACTGTGCAGAGATTATTTGTTGCAAGTTGCATCTTAGATCTGTATAAATAATTCTAGGACTGTTGTTATTGGCAGGCATTTGATCCCCCAATTGATATGAGCCAGGAAATTGATATTTGTCAACACCAAAATCTGGAAAATTTCCCGGACTATAATATTCTTGCTGGTGAAAGAAATGCTTGCTCTTGCCAATCTGCCTCAACAAGTGGAAGAGTAGCTTTATTGAAATCTGATGAAGCTAGTTGTGGAGAAGGAAGCAATATAACATGCAGGTCACCTGATGGGTCGACCATCAATGAGGTTTGTGGTATTATCCATGCTGGTCGTATTTTGTGTTGGTTATGTACTTCTATGTTGAAAATTTGACTGCTGTTGTTAACAACAACAGGAGGTGACTGTTCTACACGTCAATGGCTCCGATACTGGGAGCTGTTCTGCACGCTTACAATGTGAACAAAACTTAGATGAAGCCAGTGGCAACAATATTAAGACTGCAAACGATCAGTCAGCAATGAGTTCTGTTGTTGATTCCAATGGAAATGTAAGATTTTATTTTATTCTCTTTAACCTATCTTTTTGTATAGCATGTCTTGTTGTGGATAGAATAGACGAATATTTTTTTTTATTGTATCAGCAACAAAACAAAATATTATTAATGAAAATCAAGACAAAGTACAAAAAGTACAAATGAGGACTAGAAGTCCTCTTTTAAAAAAGAAGAGGGGAAAAAAAAGAAGTAGAAATCACACACTGCTCTCCAATGACTATTGATTAAATATACAAAGGGAGCCCCTTAAATGGAGAGGAAACTGAGCCCAGAAGGAAGCCATAAAGTGAATCTTGTCTCAAATCCTATTGAAATCCTTAACCTCATCCTCGAAAACCCTTGCAATTCTTTCTAACTATACCATAAACTACACACTTCCAAAGAATGTGAGCCTTCTTGCTTGAACTAAAGCCCCTATAATTAACATTAAGCATTTAAACACAAGAATGTGGAGGCATCCAAACCACCTGAATATGATGAAAGAGCCTCTGCCATAATGCAAAGAAGCAGGGCAGTGTAAGAAAAGATGGTTTATGCTCCTTGCATATGAAAATATTCAAAATTTTCATACAATCTCCTTTTTCAAGTAGTATGTTTATAAGTCTTCAACAAGTTCTGCATTGTTTTCATTTGTTATTGGGAAACATGCATTTGGGGCATTGCTTGGTGGGGGAAAGGGGGTTGATGGGAGGAGAACAAAATGAAAGAGATGTTGTGCTACTATCTTCAACTGTGAGGGTATTTGTCACCTTCTATTGTTGGAGCTTATTTTCTTTACCCCACTCATGCCTCTCAGTACTGCATATTACTGCAAAAAGAGAGTGGGTGATGACCTTTTCTTTTCTTTCTGAACCTTGAAGATGCAAACGGGTTGGTTGTACAAACATTTTTAAGGCATTTCTCTTTATTCTTTTCTGATCCCATTGGCAATATATTTTGTGTTATTTTATTCAACCATGATTACGGATTCCTAACTGATGTTTCAATATGTGTGGTTAGAGGATGATTCTTTCGATCGCTCATTTCCCCGTTTGTACAAACTTTCTTGCTCTCATAATGTTTCTATTTCTCTTGCGGGTCTTTTTTTATCTCATTAGGTTTGTTGTCTTGTGAGTCTTACTTTGATGAGATTATTGATGATCCTAACGCTTCTTTTTTCCCTCCTCACTAGTTGATTTGGAAAGCATTTGTGCCCTTTAAAGTTCAAATCTTTGTATGGTCTTTGGCTCACATGAATTTCAGTACCAATGACATTTTTTCAAAATAGGGGACGTAATTGCATAATGTGTAGGAGAATTTCAAGTATGTTGATCATTTATTTCTACATTGTCCCGTGGCCATGGCTTTATGATATCATATATTTCAATTGGAGGAGGTTGATTGTGTAGTTCTGACTTCTTGTGTCCAAATGCTCATTATTGATTATAGAGGTTTTGTTTCAACTAAGAGAGACTGATTCCTTTGGAATACTGTGATTTGTGTCATGGTTTTTTGGGTTATTAGATGGAAAGAAATGCGAGAATTTTTTTTGTGATAAATGAGAAGAAACTTAAGAACCATGAGAAAAGATTTCTTACTTGTGATTTCTAGAGATTGGAAGGTTGTTTGTCACTTGTAATTTTGTCATTTTTTTTCCCTTTTCTTTTCTTTTTGGTGGACTTCTTGTGGTGTACTTAGTACTTTCTTTATCTTCTTATTTAATTTTTTTTCTATTGCTGATAAAAAAGTAAGTTGTGGACCATTTAAAAGATTGACAGTTTCCTTCCAATTTTTGGTTTCTGCTTTTTGCTTTGGTCCACACATGCAATTGCTTATGTAATTTTGGCATTTATTTTTGTACTTCGTTTCTGTTATATATTGTTAATTTTTATTTGTACTCTTCTAATTTCAGGTATCCTCATCACCTCCTGATTGGTTAGATCCATCATTTCAGTTACATGTCCCCTTAGTTGATGTGGATAAGGTATATTTGTTCCCTTATGGCTGAAAATCAACCTTAGATTGTTTTAAGTTTGCTAAAACAGAAGAGAATCAATGTGAAATTTATGCAGACACTCCTTCAACAATTAAAATTTTTAATTCATAGTATGAGACACTATACAAACACTTCGACGACATTTATTACACTCTCCAAATACGACCAATATGATAAATGTCTTCATAGCAACAATGATTTTCATTCTTCATAATGCAACTTGTGCACTTCAAATATATTTTGAAATAGTTATAAGATGAATACATTATGTATATTTCAATATTCTACAATTGTTTTATGCAATTGTTGCTTGAATGATATCTTGCGGAATGTATGATTTCCAAAGTTTAATTAGTTTTATGTTAATCTCTCTACTTTTTTTTCCCATTACCTTTGAATAAATTATTAATATATTAGACATATAATATATTTGTAAAAATATAAAATTTATCTTGTCCCAAGCTTATCGTGTCTTGCATTTTTGAAAATGGCCGCATCAATGTGTCTGTGTCATGCCACCTGTCTGTGTCCATGTTACTTGGGGTATAACGGTATAAAAATACATTCTAATTCATTTTACTGTTAATAAAAGCATAAGTGAAACACCTTGCTGGAAGAAGTACTTTATCTCTGATTCCATAAATTCTGTTCTCAAGTAAAAGCATGATGTGTTGAAGATCTTAAGGGGTACTTTTCTTTTCCTCACACTGCTTTTCAGAAGAAAGGATGTTGGTATATATTACATAGACACTTCTAAGGCCAAGTTTGGCATATTGCAAAAAAGCCAAAAAGTCAAAAAGTTACTCAAAAAGTTAAAAAGTTAACGCTATTCACCAAAAGTCAACAATTACGGTTGCACAACTCTCAATCCTAATTTTTTCCTACAAATCAATTTTTACAATTTTTTATTACACATTTTTCCATAAAAAGTCAAAAAGTTAACCTAAGCATCCATATTTTCTTCCTCAATTTTTTAGTCCAAAAAGACAAAAAGTACACTTATTTAGGACACCCCAAACAACCCCTAAATTTGTTAAGTTCCTTTGTCAGATGCTTGACACTTGGGTTAGGCCATGAGATGTGTCTGTTATGTATAGTTGGGCATGCACCCAACAAAAATGTTTTAGTAGAGTTTACTATGGAGCTATGAACTCATTCTATGCATAAAAAGCTCTATGTTAGTTATAAACACCATTTTACCCTAAATAAATGAAAGAAAATTTAGTTGTCATGGATGGTATCCTCGGGCACGAGAATTAAATGAATCTAATACTTAGACACATTCCTGCACCTAACACCTGTACCTGAACCCATGTAACATAGATGTTGGTCAATGGCTTTTATTTTCATGTCTTGTAAAAAATGTGTTAAGTACCATTTTATGGTAATAATGTAGCTATTGAAGGTGGTGTCCATTTTTATTCTTTTTTTATTGGCAATTTCTATTTTTACTCTGTGGTCAGGTTCGCTGCATTATCAGGAACATTGTAAGAGATTGGGCAGCTGAGGTACTCTCTAATTTACCATAAATTTGACTTTCTATTTTTAAATTTCTACTAAGAGAAACTTGAACTTGAGGTTCAATGTTCACTATTATCATTGATTTATAAACAAATGTTCCTTTTATTGCTTATTTTCATACAGGGGCAGAGAGAACGTGATCAGTGCTACAAGCCCATTCTTGAAGAACTTGAAATTCAATTCTCTGTTCGCCAGAAGGATTGGTATCTAAATTCTGTCATTGTTTTTATTATTCCAGTATAGACTATGCTTACTATGCATGTCATAATCACTTTATTGGGAGACCTTTCTTTTCGATTTTTTCTAATTCTTATTGCTTTGGACTTATGCACCATCTTGATGATGGACTAATACCATACTTTTTTAATAGCCCTCCTGCCTGTTTAGTTCCTGGTGCTGGACTTGGTAGGCTGGCTTTGGAAATTTCATGTCTAGGTATGTTTAAGTTGTTTTTTTTGCAATCTATATTGAAATGTGTCTTTCTCAAAGTTGTTGACATTTCTTTTTCATGTCCCAGGTTTTGTAAGCCAGGGGAATGAATTTTCATACTATATGATGATTTGTTCAAGTTTTATTCTTAACCAGTAAGGATATCATGACAATCTCATTCTAATGTGCTTTTCTTTATCCTTTTTCCTGATAAAGAGAAGAGATTATCATTCTTATGATAAGCTTTTTTGTTGTATTTTTAGGACTCAGACTGTTGGGGAGTGGACAATATATCCTTGGATTCATAGCAATTGCAATTCACTTTCTGACAGTGATCAGCTTCGTCCAGTTTCAATTCCAGATATTTTTCCAGCTAGGTATTTAGTTGTCCATTTATGTGTGTGTTTTTGTTTTTTGGCATCTTTGTTTGATTCTTTGATTTTGTTATTTCTTTCAGTTTTCTTTTTTTTTCTTTTTTTTTTTTTTCAAAAGAAAAAATTTAAGGGAATCTTTTAAGAAACTGCTTTGTTACTTATCTTATTGGATTTCCATTTTACCCGATGAGGACCTTTCAAGGCCAAGTGTAGTGTGCATCTAAACTTGATCAGGTTTCTGATTGTTTCCCTGAAAGGAATTGGGATCCGGTTGACCTTTATCCATATTTGATAATTTTTTTTCTTATGTATTATGTTTGGGATGTGTGCTTTAGTAGTTCCACATTTTCTGTGAACCCTTTGCATCTTGTTTATTGTGAACCAAAACTTCACTAGGTGATTAATTTTCCAAATTAAGTACATATCAGTGAATTACAGCTGTTACATGGATTCTGTTTGCTGCATACTGTTTTTCTACATAAAAAGTTGAATACCTTCTATTTTGCTAATCATTTGTCTTATGAAGAATTTTGCTCATTACATTGATGGTAACATATAGATGCACTCATAGGATAATGTTGGTTTTTTTTTTGAATTGTTCCTGGTGGTGTGGTTGGGTTGGGGTTTCAATTTGTGTTCCATATCAAAAATATTTAGGTATTATTGTACAAGTTCACATCCGCAATTGTAGAACTGCCAAGTAATCAGTCGGGCAGTGGTAAAAATTTTATGAAATTCTGTATGGGCCATATATGTTTTTTTTAGGCATTTGCACCATCTACCCGCAGTCATGCATACCCGCAGTCATGCACAACTGCACCTGCAATGTTTAACTATCAAGATTATTATTGACTTCCCTTGGAAACAGTGCAGGGATTACTGATGGCTTTTCTATGTGTGGAGGTGACTTTGTTGAAGTGTACAGTGATCCAAGCCAAGTAGGTAGGCGTGTTAGTATGACTTGTTTCTTTGTTATTAGTATTTTATTATTGAGCATAAAATGGGGCATCAATGACTGAAAGTATAGAATGCTTGTGAATTCGGATATATTCTTCTTCTTCAGTCAATTTTTTTTTATGTCCTTCCAAATTCGTGGAAGCTAGTATCTCATTTAATTGCTCAAAGCTTCCACATGCTATCTATGTATGATATTTTCGTAAGGATTGAATTATGCAGACCTTATGTTGCAGGAGTTTGGGATGCAGTTGTGACATGCTTCTTTATTGATACAGCACACAACATCGTAGAATATATTGAAATCATTTCAAGAATCCTCAAAGATGGGGGAGTAAGTTGTTTGAATTAGCTTCTTGTTAATTTGTTTACTTCATTTTGAATGCATACTTAATTTGATTGGTTTATAGGTATGGATAAACTTGGGTCCTCTCCTTTATCACTTTGCAGACGTGTATGGTCAGGAAGATGTAAGATTCTATTCCTTCTAGCCTATGTTACATGGACTCTTCAAAATAAATCAAATACCCATGTTGGATACCCAACACTTGGACAAGGGCATTGGATATGTGTCCAATACTTTCTATCAAACAGATTTTATATATTTGTATTTAACACTGTCATTATGTGTATATATTGGTGTACATAATTGCTATAAAAAGAGTAAAATGCCTTTTGACGCTGAACGTTACATATAATGCCAATTTATCTCACATGATAAATTAAAATAATAAAAATATGGCCCTTTTTTATGGAGTCTGCATATCCTTAAATTTGAGGTTTGATGACCGTACCTAAGTCCATGTAACGTAGATTCTAGCTGATATTTACACGGTCATGCTCTGTGGGGTTGATTAATGGGCTGATATGCTTGTTTTTTGTTGTGAATTTTCTTCACTTCTTTGTAGGAGATGTCCATTGAACTAAGTTTAGAAGATGTAAGAAGGGTTGCTTTCCATTATGGTTTTCAGTTGGAGGTAATGTTATGTTGTCTTTGCATTATCTTGTGACAAAATTCTTATTGCATTCTAAATTATTAAATTTTTGACTACAGAAAGAGAAGACCATTGAGACAACCTATACTACAAACCCTAGGTCAATGATGCAAGTAAGTTTCGCTCACTGTGCATGGATTGTATATCCTTATATTCATTTACTTTTCTATCTTCAAAATTAATTAATTTAATGGGAAGTTATCTCATGACTCACATTCACATACACTCTCCAAATACACAATTGACCTGTCAGAAAATTGAAGATAAAATTCTCTTGTTTGTCTATTTGATGGGAGATAATTGTAAATTACATGATTCAAACACATTACGGGTGTGTTTGGTTTGGTTTTGGGAGATAAATTTTCCAAAAGAAATTTGGGGAATGAGTTCAAATTTTTTTTTGGTTTGTGTGGTTGTATATTTTGGAAATAGTTTTGGAGTATGGGAGTTTGTAATGATTTGATATTTTGTTGTAGTTGAGTAGATGTGAGAGAAAAAGTAATTGAGAAGGAGAGAGGAGAGAGAAGAGAGAAAAAGTGATTGATTGATGTGTAGGAGAGAGAAAGTGATTTTGGAAAAAAAAATTTCACAATCACTAAACCAAACAAAATTTTAGAAATTTTTTTCCAAAATTTGATTCTCAAAAACAAACCAAACAGGGCCTACATCTCTCATATCCACACTCCACCAAATCCAATATTGATACTTTTTTCATTATGTACATTGTTACATGGCGTGAGAGAAATAACTCTGTTGAACATATTGTGTTTGCATGGTCCGTATTGCACTTGGGTATAAAAGAAAAAAAGCACTGAATCGGTTTCAGCCTTGATACTTTTTGGTGGATTTAGAGATAAGATGAATTCGATATCCTACATGCCTGCCCTCGTAATACACATCTTCATGTTCATGTTATATTTGGTTGAAAGATACGCCGATTTGTATTATAGACTATTATTCAGCTTAAAATATGCCATTAAACATATGCATACGACTGATCTGTTTGTGAGTTTGAAACACTTATTTATTTAAAAAGAAAAAAAAAAAAAGTTGGTAAAGATGTTTTGAGGGATGGCTCTTTATTTCTGTCAATGTGTAATAAGCGATAAGGTCTTAGTTCTGAAATATAATTAGATGAGAGTATGGAACCTTTTTGAACTTCTTAGATTTATCCATTGGTAGCTGAGAGTAGCAAATTTTCTACTTAAATTTTTAAATAAAATTTTCAGTTAGTGTAGGTATATGATGATAAATGAGTGATAGCTTGCCTTTGGAAATATAAATAGAGTAAATATTTAGTGAAGGATTTTGATTGAAGATTTGAAGGACAATAATTAGTTTGGGAGGTGGGATTTTTATCATCTTACTGCTGAGTTTATAGGTATATTTGTGGTTGTGTATTAGAATATTTTATCCTTTTTAAGTTTCTTTTTCAAATTGCAGAATCGATATTACACTGCATTTTGGACAATGAGAAAGAAAACAGTGGCAACTGAGCAGCAGCAGCAACAGATTACATGAATTCTTTGCCTCCGCCTTGTATTTTATTGCACGATGGAACTGTAGCTTTTTCCCAAAAGAAATGAAAATTGCCTTAAAAATGCACTTGTTATTATTACTGTCATTATTATTATTATTATTTCTCGTCTCACCATATAATCTTGTTTTAGTATGTCTTAAAGGGGAGCAGCAGGTATAACCTTCCAAGTTGCCTCCGCCTTGTATTTTATCATCTTACTGCTGAGTTTATAGGTATATTTGTGGTTGTGTATTAGAATATTTTATCCTTCTAAGTTTCTTTTTCAAATTGCAGAATCGATATTACACTGCATTTTGGACAATGAGAAAGAAAACAGTGGCAACTGAGCAGCAGCAGCAACAGATTACATGAATTCTTTGCCTCCGCCTTGTATTTTATTGCACGATGGAACTGTAGCTTTTTCCCAAAAGAAATGAAAATTGCCTTAAAAATGCACTTGTTATTATTACTGTCATTATTATTATTATTATTTCTCGTCTCACCATATAATCTTGTTTTAGTATGTCTTAAAGGGGAGCAGCAGGTATAACCTTCCAAGTTTTACATCTTATGATATTGCGAGAGAGAGAGAGAGAGAGAGGGGTTGCTGCACCTTTTATCTTTATTTATTATTGTTACTTGATAAATTGTGCATTAAATTGTTTAGATTATTTTGCTATGAAGCTATACTTCTGCTGTGTTTGGTTGGGGGATTTGAAAAGGAATTTAGAAAGGAAAAGGGAAAAAGTGTGTGAAACTACATGAAATGTACGTATATTTTATTTACATTTTATCTAATTTTTATCTTTTTCTTTTCAAATCTTTCTTCAAATTCTCCAACCAAACACAGCGTTCATGAATTAAGTAAAATCCCATCTTATTAGGAAAATGAAAGGGTGTATGCGTGGGTGCAGATACCCACTAGAGATGTTACAGCTGCATTTGTTTTTACATATAAAATGTTTTCAGAATTTCATGAGGATTATAGGTGAAACTAGAAAAAATAGAAGATGTCGGGCCTAAGGATTTTAGGCAGGAAACAGATTTAGTTACGAGAAGCAAATAGTGGTTATGCTCTCCAACTCTCATGGTAGAAGTTAATAGGTTGGAGCCCCATATGGGCCGTTATGATTTCTTTTCGTTTTTTACCTTAGACAGATCAGAAGAGTTAGAGGAGGGCGAGATCAAACAAGTGAAAAAAATAAAAACAAAAAAACTGCCAACTATTACAAATTCTTATATTCATGCTCTATACATTCTTTTGCACTTTAATTTATATGTATTGAGTTGTAACCTAAAATGCATCTTTACAATTGAACTAGTGTTGCCCATGTGAGACAAAATAGTTGACCAAAAGGCAACTACCATAAATGACATATGAGAGGATAGTGTATGACTATATTACAAAGCACTTTATTGAATCGATCTATCCTCAAAAAAAAAAAAGAAAAAGAAATTGATCAAGTGACAGATTATAGGAATTAAACTCAAGGAAAAACAACTAAATATCAATCAAAAGTTTTTAACAGTCCCATTCACCAAGACACTTTCAAATGCAACACCATTTTTTTTTTTTGAAAAAATGACTAACCCTTGCCACATCGAATGTTTAACACCAAAATGTTCTCCATCGTAGGCCCAGTTAAAAGCTTTCATTAACGAGTTTATATTGAATCCCCATAGCAGGATTTCATATCGGTTCAGCTGAATTATGACAAATACAGTAATTATGTCGTCTTCTTTTTTTCCCCCTAAAAAACGAAATACCTCAAATAATAATACTGTGGAGGAGCAAAATCTCCAGGGTGGTAAATTAGCCACTATGTGCCCCATAGTTATGTTGGGGGTATGAATTATATCACGTGACAACCATCATAATTAACAAAAAAAAAAAAAAGTTCATTTCACAAAAATCCCAAGGATGGCAAGAAAAGCAGGCCTCCTGAAAAATGGGCTAAGTCTAAAATATTAAAACCGTCACTCAAAAGTCGAAATTGCTGCCACTCCCCTACCCCTATTGTACCCATCCTGCCCGTCTGTCTACCTGAAGAATGGGCTTTACCCTCTATCAATTTTTTCTATATATCACTCACTTCAATCACAATTCATCGTGTGCTTCAGGTGCTTCTGAGTCTACTTTGTCATTGGTTGAGCCATTATCTGTTTGGTCATTTTCAGATGTTGCCTCCTGAGAAGATGAGTCGGAGGAGGTAGTATTCGCATCAGCCTCGCTGCTGCTCTCTGTTTCATTCTTTACAGGCTTCTCAACTTTCGGTTTTGGTTTGGGAATTCTATTGATGCTAGCAACCTGCACATCAATCAAAATTTATCAACAAAATAGTGGGGGCGCGAAAAACTCTAAAATGTTATAATCAGTTTTTTACTCAAGGAAAGGACTGCCGTTAGTACCTTGTCTTGAAGATCGAATACCTTCTCATATACTTCCTCAGATGTAAATGCAGCAGTGCTGAATGGCGAAGTCCTGTCAAAGAAATCCAGTCATTTAACATGTTCTACGAATGACTATAGCACTATATATACTACATAGCTCCCAAAAATGATAGCACAAACAAGGCTGGCTATAAGATGGAGGACTTGAGTAGGTGAGTTACTAGTGAAATTGGGTCTTCGACTTAACAACCCTAGTAACAAAAGCTTCACTGACAGGCCATGAACTATAATGTACATTGAGGTAACTCAAAAGTGCATGCACTCTTCTCAACTCGATAACGTCTTCTAGAAAAAGAAAAAAAAAAAAAACTTTCAAAAAAATTTAAAAAACTGGGAGCATTGCATGAAAGAGCATCTATCCAAAAAATGAGTATAAAATGTGCATATATTTGACGATGTTAATATCCAAACATTAAGCAAAGCATGTTCTTAAAATAAATAGGGTGAATGCCAATGGTATTTCTCACCGAAAAGGATGGATCCAATTCAGCTAAACCAAAACAACTTGAAACACATCCTTAAATTATTTGATAGGTGTAATCTATGTTACCAGAAAACGCTAATATCCTAACGAATTACCTATTGGTACACACGTTCCAAAACATGGAACCCTTTTATTCCAAAATGATAAATTTAGTGATTCAAAGCAATCCCAAAAGTTTTTTCAACATATGTCTTTAAATGTTACCTTATGAGGAAAAAAAATTCAAATATAATAAACTAAAATTTAAGGTGAGTCAAGTTTTGACAAGAAAAAAAATAAAAAAACGGGTCATAATGCTCAGAAAATATTACATTTTATTGGATATCTAATAGTTAAAAAAAATTTACTCTAGCAGTACCTTAAATTCTTCGATATAATATATACAAGTCTACCCTTATCATACCACATTTTAGAGCATGTGTTCCCGGTCCACATACCGGAACGATCCACATTCCGGATAACATAGGGTGTAATTTAAGGAGACTCCACCTTGAGCCTCTTTATTGGGGAATGCAACTTAAGCTGCTTGGATGACCCCTAGGGGACCCTTCATTAACACTAACTTGAAACACATTCCACTAAACTTGGTCTGAGCACTAAAAGTTATAGAAATGATTGGCCACTGTAGAAATTCAAGAAGAAACCAACTTCAAATTATATCAGAACTTCTAGTTTGTGTTTAGATCTTGAATCTGTGGAGGAAAAAAAAAAGGGAAGGTAAAAGTTTAAAAGTCGAGAAATTTGTAAAGGAAAAAGAAATGAAAAGGGAAAAGTGAATGAAATAGAAGCTTCTTTGTTTTTTTTAAACCTTACCCTTCCCATTTCTTTTCCGTCCAGAAATCCAAAATCCAAACACAGCATTAATATAAATATGTTAGTGATGTGTCCTAGTTAAAATTTTCAAAAAAAATAACAATATAATATGTTTAGAAATGCCAGAGTGCACAACCGTGCACACAAGAAGAGAACTTACTTCTTCTGCTCAGCCTCTTTCTCAGCCAACCATTTCTTAAAATTTTCAGCATCCTTCAGAACCTGAATATCCAGGCATTGTAGGTAAGAGATTTGAGTTTTGCCATTGCAAACAGGAAGAAACAGAATTTTTTTTACAAGAATAAACAGACAGTTCAAACATGATCAAAGCACCTTGTCCATTCTCTCTTTCGGAAGCCATGATTTAGCCTCCCATCCATGTACAATCTGCAGATGCTCAATAGCAAATTAAAAGAAAAGAAAAGGTCAATGCTCTATAAACTGTCCCAAAACTAATGCAAAGCATATAGCACATCAACAATAACAGAACATGCAGTTTTCTTCCCAAAAACAACAAAGCTTTTGCATGTAGGATCCCATGAAATCAATACACTTTAACATGCCAAGAAAATAAAAATAGTTTAGTGTGCAAGAAATGCGGGTGAAATTTCCAAGTGACAAATATCTTTGACCAGCAAAAAGACAGTACAAGTTTTTGCAGAAAAATTCGCAGAGCTCCCTAGGTCACAAGGGTTTCATCTCTTCCAAAATATAATAACAGTAAGAAATCATTTACGACATTTAAAATATTGAAAAAAGAAGTATGAACAAAAAGCCGTAATATCTATTTTGAAAAATTCTATTCATAAATAAATTGACGGTCTTTAGAATTCTAGCAAGTAAAAAGTCTAAAGGTGTTGGGATTGATATACATATATTCACATTATTTTTATTTTATCATAGTATCCCAAGTTATTTTCTTCAAAAAAACATTCGATACGTGTTAGATTCTAATTTATTTTTAAATAATAATAATAATAACAAGACACGTTGGATGTATGTCCAACAGGTGCTGGACAGTGTCCAACACAGACACAACACACCTTAAATTTGTTTGTGCCTCTTAGAGATCAATAATTAAATTAAGCTCCAAAGAATCTATTAACACCAAAATCTTGGATAGACAACCATTTAGTTTCTTCACATCATTGGTTTTAATAATCAAATTTCTACTTTATTCATACAAAGGCAACCCACTTGATAGGTTTTAATTCTTTATTGATTTATCTTCTCATTTTGGAACCACTTTCATTTCCATCACACATCCAACATAAATCATCAAAGCTAAACAGAGGTTCAACTACCAAACATCAAAAGGTGTTAAGTTCATTCACAACTATCAACCATCTTATTTACCTGTTGCAGTTCACCAAGGTATTTCTGAGCAAGTTCACATGCTGCTGGTCGTGCAGTAAGCTCATTAAATCTGCATCAACTTTCTGTAATAAGCTATCCAACTTCAAGACTAAAACCTTTCTACAATACAAGAATTGGACATCGGGACAGACCTGAAAAAAATGGGGTCGCCATTAGATTTTAATGAATCTAAACGTTCTTCAAACTTAGTGGCAGAAGCATCTTCACCATCAGTGTACAACCATTCCTGCACCTGAAACAGTGCAAGATTTCCAATTCAAAAACCTAAGTAGGAACAATATGACAAAGCCTTGCTGGATAAAATGAAACAAAAGATAAGAAGAGGGGTGGGGGGGTTGGGGAAGAAAGAGAGCCAACAGAAAAAACCTCATCAAGTTTTTCAATGAATGATTGGCGTTCCTGGCTGGAAGAAATTTTTTCATATTCCTCTGATTCAAGCTGATAAAAAAAATAAAAATAAATAGTAATTCACATTACATTGAAAATTAACACAAGCAAGCAATAAGCAATTATAAAATGGGGAAAACAACAGCAAAAGAAAAGGAGGGAAACACAAGAAAGAAATAACGCTTGATAAACATATTTTCACTGTTATCATAGAGACAAAAGCAATAACACCAGACGGCACAGTAAACCAATTCACAAACCAACTTCAAAGCAAAAGCCAGAAAAAAAATAGTAAAAACAGATCCTGCAGAACCCCACACACACACACACAAAGGACAAAACAATGCAATGGACAGTGCCATATATAACAAATAAGAGGTCCTGAGAGGAAATTAAGATAATAAATGGAAACCTCTTAAAGGCTTGAACATTGGATTGAACTACATATGCAGAAAAATGTTCATACAAAAAAGAAAGAAAAGTACTAAAATGTTAGCAGGACTACTCCAGTATAATAGTCACTAAATATTCCAAATACTCAAAAATAAGTAGGTGAAAACAGAAACAATGATTTGGTAAAATTCATGTTAGCAAATACTAGGTCAGATTATCCAATGCACTTCATACCTTTTCTCTAGTGGCATATATGTATCCTTCGAGATTATTTTTTAACTCTGCAGTTCTTTTTCGCTCTGCATCCTTTATATTCAGTGCTTCCAGCTTTTCTTTAGCTTCGAGAAACGCTTCTTTGGAAAGAGACATTCCAGGTCCCACCACCTTCTCAATAATCTAGAAACAAGTGCGAAATGAATGATTAGGATCGAAAACTGTTTTAAGTAAATCCAATAAAACCTTGAAGTTAGATAGGTTTTGAAGTTATTTAATTAGTTCGCACCTTGAGTGGAACTCTAAAAGTCCTCTTCTTCAGTTTTTTCTCTGTACCAAGATCAGTAGTGCTTTGATCATTTTCACTGGAGTTGGATGCATTATTAGTTCCACCGTCTGTCTTCAAGCTGTCACCGCTGTCTTCTGAAGTGTTCCCGGGACCACCTTCAACTGATATGTTGGGTGAAGCAGAAGTTGAGTTCTCCACGGTAAGATTCTTTTTGGGAACTTCTATCCATTCGGATATTTCAACAACAGCATCTGCTCTATCCAAAGAAAATATCCCACTACTACTGAGAGAGAAATGTAGATTGGCCTTGATGGGTGAAGAAAGATTACGTGATGCATACCTAGAAAACAAAACAAGATAAGAAAAATCAAATGAAACAGGAAGAATAGTCCATGACTTTATCAAAGTATAACACCACAACCGAAATCAACATATGTTTCAGAAATTAGTTACTAGGCCTCACTTTTCACTAGCATCAGTCAGACCAGACACGACATACTGAGCAAATATGGGCGAAGGAGCACCAGGTGGTAATAGGTCTTCACTCTCATAGGCAAGTGAAACTTCAAAGTCTTTATTGTGTATGATGGATCTAAACATCTGTCAGCCAAGTAAACATGTGATCAATGAAAAGTAGACCACACAATTTCTTAAAATTTTGATTCTATGCTTAATCATCTCCAGTGGAATAGATTTTGATTTCTATGTGATTTACCTTACTGGGTAGTTTTTTCATTCTTTGCACAAGCACCTGTCTAGTGCTTTCATCTTTTAGAAGATCAGGACCATTAAGCTCGATGACAAATCCATATGAAGAACCATCAACCATCCCTAGCTTACGATTCAATTTGATTCCATCACTTAAATTCGCTGCACGTAATGCAGCACCAAGAACAATAGCTTCGTCAGCATCCAAGTGTTTGTCCAGATCTTTCCTCCCAATGAATTCTTGGATCTTAGCCTATAAAACAGAGGAAGTAAAAATTAATTTCATAACCATCAATCATCAGTTGGGGCTTTAAGAGACAAAAGTGCTGATATATTGATAACGTTCGTATGGCCACATTCGTAAAGCCAATTGAGGCAGTGATAAAGCAACCTAATATAATGGTATCAGTCACGGTTGCACATAATCAATAACATGCAATCATCCATGGTTAATTGAAAATGCTCTTGTGAAGTCTTGGGTACTAATCTTGGAGTCTATAGTAGAAACTACAAAACTAACACTCACTAAATCAGGATATTACCAAGCACTTCTAATATTTGCTTCCACACTACAAAATGCAATAATGCAGCTTCTAGATCATGTTAGTTGCAACTTGCAAGGGAAAGAAGGTAGACCTGTAGTTTTGGCACTCGAGTGGCACCTCCAATCAACTCCACCGCGTATATCTCATCAATCTTCAAACCAGAATTTTTAAGCACTTCTTTAAGAGGAAAAAGAGATTTCTCCCAAAGATCATTGCAGAGCTCCTCAAACTTCTCACGAGTAATCGTACTCCTGGTAAGAAACAGTAAGAGAGAAATATCAGATAAGCTGGTTATGTTCATTTAAACAATCAAATGCACACTACAATACTCAAAATACATTATAGAAATATTGCAAGACTTTGTTTGGATCTTGAAATGTGGGTGGAAATAAAAATTAAGTACAGGCTAAATTTTTTCTTGTTTTTGGTTGGATTAGGAAAATGGAGGAAAATATACATATATATATATGTATGCTTGTCAAAAAACCTATTTTTTTTCATTAGTCACCTATCAAAAATAGTATGTTCAAGTAATTCCATTTTCATTTCCCTTTCCCTCAAATGCAGAATCCAAACACAGCAAGCAACCAAGCCCTGACCTATATCTGTCAGCAACAGAAACAGCGCATCTCTCACACATGATAATTGATTGAAAGGTCTAGTTTCCTAAATAAAAGCCTCTCTCTCTCTCTCTCTATATATATATATATATATATTTGACATCCTAAAACCTTAACCATCTTAGTTCAATCACCACAAAGCCACTCCTGCACAGACCATCTAACTAAAGCACATTGTAGCAATTGGAAGACCCTGGATATTTCATGGTTCTCACCATCAAATCGTTGCTATTTGTTAGAATAAACAGCTTTTGAGATACAACATGATGTTAATAAAGATAAATAAACGAAATTTAAAAATAGGGTATTCAGGTGTTCCAAAATGTGAAGTCACACAAATAATAAACGCTCCTAGTTCTTCATAGATTTCAAAACTCAAACATATAAATTGAAAGGGTTAAGTATTGTCTCAAACATTTGATGGTAAAGAATCTAGATACAAAAATGCAGTGCAACTGTGCAACTACTCATTTGGAGCTTTCACCTTTCTATCACTGCATGATGTACAAAAATCTAGCTTTTCTCATACTCCATCAAAGTTGTAGCTTTTCTCTTAAGGGAGTTCCACTTTTTTTGTTAGCTAGCGACTGGGTGGCAGTGTGTGCTATGTAGTCTTTTGCCCGTGTTTAGCTTGTTACGGGTTATTTTTGTGTTTGCATTCTCATTGTCCTATTGTAATAGGATGCCTTATGCTCTTTTCTTTTTTGTTTTATCAATAAAGCTTTTGTTGTTGATCAAAAAAAAAAAAAAAACAATATTAAAAAAAAAAAAAAAAAAAATGCTGCATCAAAGTTGTGGACTTCCTGTAGGAACCTAAACCTACACCTGCCAAAACCACCCATCCCAAATACAGAGTTAAGGCACATTGGGTCAATGACATAGCACGCATTCTCCTATTCCCACAAGAAGTTTCTAAGAGGCAGATATAAACAGATACACCATTCTTCCATATGTACCATGGATTCTTCTAATTTCTAAATTAAGGCTACAACATAAACTAAATGCATGATGAAACAGTGTACTTTATACTCTAAATTCAGTCCACTTTGTTCCCTAATTCACCTTCTTTTAACTTTTTCTATCCACGTTAATTTCAAATTTATTGGGTGTCTCTGAGGACACATTTTTTTATTTCAAGGAGACAGAAAGGAATGAAGTTACTTTTAGAAGAAGCTTCACTCCAGCACTGCAGCCTGGAAATTTCTGAAAATTCACATCAAAGGCAGTAAAGAATGAAGAATGCCCATTTAATTAAACATACCTAAAGTCACGATCATCATAAAGAGATTCAACTGAAATTGGAGCCATTGTGTTTGCACTTAGAATATCTTTTGTGCGTTTAACTTGTTTCTTCAACTTTGCCATCGCCTTAGGGGATGTCCTCACATCTACCCCGTTTCCAAGTTGTTTATTGAACTCATCCGCAAAGTACTCCACCAACCTTAATTCCATATCCTGACCCCCAAGTTGTGGGTCCCATCTAACATCCTTGACCTGCAACAATTTCAAAGGTTAACTAACTAGCTGGCATGTACAGAATTGTAAGCTTAGTCAACTGCCATCAAGCATTTTTACAACTCTGTAGCTTAAACAGAAATGCATAGTCTTTTGTATAAAAATGACATGTGGTATGAGGATCCTACTAATCCAAAATTCTTGCTATGAAATGAAACTAATTAAAAATACACTGCAACATAAACAAATAGTAACTGATTTAGCCAATACCAAAAGATATAAACCAGTGCAAAGTACCCATTCTAAACTTATACTGAAAAGCATCAATTAACAGATTAAATTTACAACCACCATGCATTACTTACAAACATGAACAATATAGATTTTGTACAACTTACCGAGAATATCAAAAATAAACACAGGTTCGCATTGACATTGGCCAATCAATAAAAAAGCACAACCAATTTAGTCCCATTGGCGAGTCTTCCAGGAACGCCATGTGCCTATCCAATAATATTTTGCAATTTCTCCACCATGTTCTTTGTTTTTCAGGTCATGTAACCATTCAGCCTGCTATTGGGCAGCACACAACCAACATAGAATTCTAGGAAAACAAGATAATTACTCCATTGGATGGGTTTGGTGGGTGTAATTTGGGTAAGACTTAACTTTTGGCATTACTTCAACTGCCCTCAGGTTCAAACCCAAAAGCTAAAGGTTAATTGCTTGAGTTTTACACAATTTTTTTTTTTTTTTTTTTGTCAATAGATAGGAGAGTAATTACAAATATAATAAATAATTACATTATCAAACAGACTACTAGCCCACAATAGCTAGAAAGTCAACAAACCTAACACAACTAATAAACCAAGCCCACCAAGCTAAGCCCAACAACTACCATAATGGGCGACAAAAATAAACCATCACAAAGGGTACAAACTCCTCTCCATAGAAGTTGAACCCAAGACCTCATTTGTGTGTTATACAACCACTAGACCAAATGCCCTGATTCGAGTTTTAAACACTAAACCATTTGTAAATTGGCCAATCAATAGTAAAGAATTATAGCTAGCACACCCAATTTTCAGTCAGATAAGCTAAACAACTTATAATTTCCCAAAATTCATATGTGCATCATGTGTATAATTAACTAAATTAGCAGTAACACATTCTCAGAATTACCTGAAATTGGTTGACAGAGACAGTCTTCCCATACTCCTTCGCATTATACGCAGAGAAATACACAAGAGCAGCATAAGTACTACTCGAACCCATATCATAGAATATAACATGCCTTGACTCATTCGAGAAATCCTTATCAATCCCATACTGCAACGCCGCACCTGAGTGCTCATTGATCAGCGAAAGCACATTAATCCCAGCCAACTGAGCCGCCTGAAGCAAACCCTTCCTCTCTACCTGCCCGAAGTATGGTGGCACTGTAATCACGGCGTCCTTAATCGGAACCTTGGAATGAAACTCTGCCAAATGCAAAGCATAACCCAATACCATCGCCACCAATTCCCCCGGCGAATAAATTGCACCACCATCAACCCTAATCCCAGCACCGCCTCTCGGATCTTCCACAACATCAAATGGCAAATACATTGAATCGAGAAATTTCTTCACACAATCATAGGGCTTTCCTATCAAATCTCGAAGATTGGAATATACTTTATCGGGATACCTCGCCACGAGTCCGGCAGCTTCTTCGCCGATCAAGCGGTTGCCGCCTTGAAATGCGACCAATGCCGGCGATTTTCGCTTCGACATTTCGTTAATCGCGACCGAGATTGGACTTTGTCCTGGTTTCAGATTCACCGCGGCGACTTTCAACCATTCTGAGCCTAGATCTACACTGAAAACCGCTGATTCGGACGGTTTCGCAACAAAGAAGAGGATCGAGAGTAGTAACCCTAACCTGAAGAAGATCGATGACATTTTTTCTGGATCGGAATCAAATGAATCCAAACCCTACCACGTACTTTTCAGAGCTTCGTCTGAAGAGCATCAATGAAGCCCCTGTGTAATCACGAATTATCGCTGACATGCATTGATCTCTACTTTCCGGGAAAATTCGCTGAGAAAGCAGGGGTTCTCTCAACAGGTGGGAAAATTTGTGTCTGAGAAATGAAAGTCAGGAGAGAGGTTGGGTTTTATAAAGTGCGGTTGTGGGAGATCTACGTGGACTGAGCTGACGAATAAATTGAAGCCACGTATGCAGAATGTACACGTGGCGATTAGTGTAAGGCCTTGTGTGTTGTGTTGTGTGTTGTCGTAGATCTTTATAGAAGCCTCAACTTTGAAGGTTCCAGGTGAACATCCCCCAGTCAACACGTCAAGCTCCTCTCGCAGTTGGCTATCCCAATCGGAGTGTGCCGTTGGATTTCCGTTCTCTCACCACGGTCGTTCAATATACAAAAAGTTCATCAATTATTTTATTTTTGTAACAAATTATATTAGTTACATTTATGTAAATAATTTATTTTAAAAATTAAAATTATTATTGGCATAAATATAATATAATCAAGTAATTATTAATATTTGATAAACGTAATTTTTATAAAAATAAAATACTTGATAAGTTTTATACATTAAATAGTTTAGATTATCAATATGAATTCTGTGATTAACTCACAGAGAGCCCACAGTACCATCTAATCTAATTGAATAATGTTATATGTATCCATTAGTGTATCAAGTAGTGTAATAATTGATGATGTGACATAATTTAAGAAGTTTTTAGTATTTGTAATTTGTATAATGAGTGGGATTAATAATAATGTCATAACTAGTGTTGATATACTAATTAGAGCATGTTGCACCGTCGAATCCAATTTAAACAGGAGAAAATCGTGACCTCAAAATAAATAAATAAATAGATTGGATTAATTTAAATCGCATGATTTAAGGCCTCATTTGTTTTCAGAGGTAGAATGGAGAAGATTCATAATGAAAGGATTAATAGTGAGGGCATTGATAGTGAAGGGAATAAGTAAAATTGTATTTGTTTTGATGATAGTTGTTCGTGTAAGAATTGTTAAATTATTTTTATATAAAATAAATATAAAATAATAAAACAAATACAAAAATACAAAAATATTAAACATTAATGTTAAAAAAAAAATGTCCAACATGTAAAAAATAAAAATAAAAAAAATTCCAAAAAAAATAAAACAAATAAAACAATGATTTTTACTTACCAAAAAATATAAAAAATTAAAAATTAATGTTTAAAAGAAAATGCCTAACATGTAAAAAATTAAAAATTAAAAAAAAATAGTCTTCCGGACTAAAATTTTAATACCATCTTCACTTCCTTTATCTCAATCCCCCTTTCAAGGCCTATCCTAATACCAAGAGATTAGAAATCTTCTCTCCATCTCTCAAAACAAACATGACATATAGTCGATCTCACCTCACTATTAATCTCAATTCCCTCTCTATAACTCCAAACAACCGGAGCTAAGCCTTATTTAGAAACAACTAAATAAGTATTTTTTTAACTCAAAATTAAATAAGATTATTTGGAATGACTTTTCTATATGTATATATATATATATATATATAATTTTTTTAAGTAATAAATTTGAAATAAAGTAATTTTATATAGAGCTCGTTTGGGAAGAAAAAGTCTTAGGCTTTTTGGCTAAAATAGTCACAAAAAAATAAAATAGGCTTTTTAGCACAATAAGACAAAATATCACATCCAACCTATAATTATTACATTTTTTTCTCATAAAAGTCAAAAAAATCAAAAAACTCATCTTAAACGAGGCTTTTTAACCCTACGCTAAAATAACTAAAAAGTCAAAAATCCAACACACATTCCAAACAAACCCATATAAATAATTTTTTTAAGTAATAAGAAAGTAATTTTACCATTGAAGTTGTTCAAATTTCATCGTGTATAACAACATTGTAACGGTAATCTATTTAAAAAATTATTTAATTCTCGTTTTAAGAAATCGATAACCATTGATTATAGCAAATCAATAATAGTTCATTATAATTCAAACAAAATTACTTCGTAGCTCAAAGGGGTGGCTCGAAATAGCCTGAAAATCACTTTTTTCTCTCTCTTCCCTATCTCTTTACTCTGTTGTCCTTTCCTCTCCTTTCTTCTATTGTCTATAAGCAATACAAAAAATACTCTCTCTGTTCCCTTATCCCTCTCATTCCCCACATCTGTATTCCCTCATCCCTCTCATTCCCTAGATCTCTCTTATCCTTCTCATCTCTATCAAACCTTCTGATCAGTCGCTGATTGCGGGAATGACGACGAAGCAAAACGAACCACAACAAATGAGGACGAATGATGGCCTGAGACAACGAACGACGGACAACGATTTACAGATTTCAACAACTCCTCACCTACCGCCGCCAGAAAATCCTCATTATTTATGAAAAGAAAAGGAATTTGAGGTAAACCTAAAATCGCAAAACTAGGAAATGAGAGGTTGGGGTTCAATTTTTGTAGAAATTAGTTGATTGTGACTGTTTGGGTTTGGATTTTGCTTTCAATTTGTGTTAGGGTTTGGGATTTGCATTCAATTTGTGATGTGTTTGCTGGTGAATATATATCCTCTGTGTTAGGGTTTGGGATTTGCCTTCAATTTTGCTTTCACTTTATTCTTTTCTTTTTTTCCTTTTTTTTTTTTAATTTTTAGTGTCTTAATGTGAACGAAATTCAACATAAAACAATTATATTATGAATTACACCACCTTTATTTTCCTGAATTTGCTACTTTTGAACTACTATTTGACTACCAAAATCCTTCACCAAATTTGAACATGCTCACATATCTTTTGATGAAATGCTCCAAATAGATTTGTGGATAAATTTCTTTTATTATTGCATTCAATTGAAACTTTGTAACTTTCTTTTCAATTTGTTTATTAGATGAAATGTCAAGGATGTTGGGGCTTGTATATGCTTACTAATGTTTCTCTTGTCATCTTCAAAGTATGCATGAAATTGGTAGTTTTCAAACAAATTTTCCACTTCTATACCATAAACTTTTCTATGGTTTGGACTCCTAAAATCCCATGAAAAAGGACATTATGGATTGGAATTGTTAGCTTGTTGGGTTCATTATTTTTAAAAGCTTGATTCTAGAAAAATTATTGATGTAACATGCTATAAGAACTCAAAGAGGGTATATATGAATCCCTTTCCAAATCCTTACAAACATTTTGTGTACTTCAGAGAAGGTGCACTTTAGCCGTTTGAAATTTGTGTTGACATTTAGATTTTTGGATTTTTAGTTCATACATCTGTAAAATTATAAATCTGTGTTGAAATCTTGAAATCTAATATAGGCTTATGCATTTTATGGCTTAGAAAGCGTAACAATTTAGATGAAATTATGGTTTTGAAATGGCTTTAGTATTATGTATGCAGATTAGAGAACTATGGATTCTTCTTCTACTAATAATAGCAACAGAAGATTAAAACCAAAATTAAGTGATTGTGGGAGAACTGCGGCATGAATGAGAATGGAAACCAAGGACGTTTGTTCTTTGTTTTCCCATCGAAATAGGTAAGTATTTATTATACAATTAGGTCTTTTATAGCTATTTCAGTGATTTGATTAACTAATTCTTGTGCATTGTAGAATCATAAGGAACACTGTAATATTTCAAATTCACAGATGAGGATGATGACGACACTAGCTTGACAATCTGTTCCAATGTTGGACCTCGAAAAGCTAAAAGAACAGAAGAATTAAACGATCTAAGGACAAGGCTTTGTGAGATGGACAATGAAATTCATGAGCATAGATAAAACACTGATGACCTCCACCAACATTCTTATCACACAACAACCAACATATAAGGAAGCAAACAAAAACAATACAAATTGTTCAAAACAACAAGAACAACACAAAGAAACTCAATTTAAGTTTAACAGTTTTTCTATAATTCTTCATCCCTTTACAAGTTTATTTTTACACTTCTATTTCAAAACTTTAAAAAAAATAAAAATAAAGTGTTTCTAAGCACCATATTATCAAATAGCCACAATTAGTGGCCTGGAACCCTCCACCTACAGTGGATTTTATAAGATACATGGGACAGTGTTCTCCTTGTTTTCAATTTATAAAAGACATCAAATGGAAAACCTATAAGATCCTATGTCACACCTCTGCTTCAATAATAAACATCATATGTTTTAAAGAAAACTATTATTTCAATTATTCCTGCAACAAATAAACACCTCTAAAAGCATGGTAAAACCTTTGATGAAAAATTCCCTCCCTCTTCATACCTCCATTGTCTAAAAAGTGCCCATATTGTTCTTTAGAAACTAAAAAATAAAATATTATAAAACATAAACAGTGCATAACCAAAAAGGAATAGGTTCCCTTCAATTAAAAGGTAAACATCTTTAAACAAGCAAAATTAGCACTATAGCAACAAAAAATTATCATAATCAGCATTTTTGCAACAAGAAGTTCAGTATACTTAGCACTATAGCAATAGATGACACAGGCAACTGAACCAATTAAAGTGTCGAAACATAGATGAACAATCAAAATTAGATCTGATTAACCAAAAATAAATATATATAAATAATAAAAAAAGAACAAGCAGATGCATGAAAAGAGATGCAAAAGAAGATAGAGAAAGAGTTCATTTTTTTTTTCCTGTGCAAACAGAAAGAGTTAATCAAATCAAAACACTAATTCTTAATCACCCTATGCGAAACCCTAAATTAAAAACAAAACCAACTAATTTCAAATCATACAGAGCTTGTTAACTAAAAATCAATCCATTACTTGCAATCACACCCACCTGTAAGAGCAGTAACAGCACCTCTCGGCAAACACAGCAGCAGCGGCAGCACCTTTTGACACACATAGCAACAGCAACAGCACCCGTCGGCACACATAGAAGCAGCATCAGCCTCGTCAGCGGCACACAGGTCGGCTCTTCTCTCTACTCTAAACAATTCAATCGGCGCTAATGGGTCTCCTCTCTCTCTCTCTACTCTGTTCTTTTATTTCTTTTCTTTTTTTTTATATTTGAAATGAAATGTATAGGTGAAAATATAGCTAGGATGTACAAAGAAATGGGGGTGTACAAAGAACTCGGGCCATTCGAGCCTCATTATTTTGAGCTACCAATCGCTACTGTAATTCAGATAATATAAAGGGATCAAATGAAATTGAATCACACCATTCTCAAAATGGGTAATGGATTGGCTTAATAATTTGGTTTTTTTTTTTTTTTAAATGGTGTGGTGAATACTTGCACATATGCTGTTTTTATCTATATTAATATATAATGTGTGTGTCGATTTCTGACCACACTGCCAAACAGGTATTCAGCTGGAGAACACCGGCAGAATAGATTAAACTCGAACGACCTGCCACAGAAAGATAAGATTCTGGCGGTGGTTCGTTCACCAGGGACACTCCGACGATCAAGTCAGTTATCTCTCAAAGATAGCAAAAGTGCTTAACTCACTATTCAGAATACAAAAAGCGTACCTTAGACCCATGAGGGTGCCTCTCTTTTATAGCCAACATTGACTTTATCCCAATAGAAGCCTAGCTTCAATGGACTCTGGCTCAATGCTAATCCTGGACTCCTAGTTAGATTGGAATAAACTCTCTAAGAGTCTTATGTTTACCCAAACTGAAGTCCTCTCTCATTCTAGGACTCTTGTCCCTTATCCGCTTATCCTGGATTTCGGTATCTTCGCAGATAACCTCGACCTAGTTGAGATTATCTCGGCGTCATGACCAGGACATGTGGCACCTCGGCTGGCACTTCGGTGCCACCTTGGCCATGTATTGTCATTCAAAAATTATGTCCCCACAACTGCCCCCTAGGTTTTATTGCCTCGGCATCTTGATTTGATGGAACCTATATCGTTTTTTCCATTTAGCACGTCGGCTAAGCTTGCGTTGTCTTTCATTACCGAGGTCATCATTCGTTGGCTCAATACGACCAAGACTTAGTCTGTTTTCATCAATGCTTCAGAACCAATAACCAAGTTCATTCAAGTTTCTCAGCCGAGATCGTCCCCCTAGCTGAGGTCTTGCTCCATTAAATCAAGAACTCCAAGAGTTTCAACACGCGTATGAACTGTCACGCACAGTATTTCAACCGTTTTTGCCACGCGTTTTTCTCCTACTGAGCCGTACCTGACACGCGCCATTAAGTCACATCACATTTGCGTGTGCTGTCTAACAAGCACGTTGTCCTAGGCACACTAATTGCCATTTTTGCTACCATTCTGCGTGTTTGATCAAAATCATCCCTCTCTCTCCGTCTTTTCACTTTTTAACCACCGTTTTTGTGCAAGTTCTTTCTCTCTACTCCCAAATCCTCCATTGTTTCAAGCTCTGCAACTAATCCGTTCACCTCCTCCGACGAAGCTTTTGATGCTCTTCTCTGATTGCTGCCATCGTCTGACTCTTGTGAACTTCACACTGGCTTCATTTTCTTCGGTGAGTTACTATTTTCCCCCTCTTTAGTTCCATACTCTGTTGCCTCTTCTTATTTGCCATGATGAATACATTCGTATACTCCTGTTTTTGTCTGTGTTTCAAGCTTTATCAGTTGCATGTTTTGAGCATGTCTTGTTTTGCAATTTTTTGTGCTTGTCTTGTTCTTGATTCTTGACCTTTACGTATAAATTACACACACACTCGCTTTAACTTTGCCACTGTTCTTGGCCTTACACACCTACACAAACTTATTCGTTGTTCTTTGATTTCTTGTTTGTCTTCTTGAGTCTGAATCATATCCTTGTCTTTGTTTTCTGTTGTGTTCTCCAGATTCTTGTCTTCAATCCTTGTTTCTGTAGCCTTAGGTTTGGGACTTGTTCTAGAACTTACAAACTTTAGGAAAAATTGAAACAAATTCCCTTTAGATCCTCAAAAACCCTTGCCCCAGCATTCGTTTAGGTTTTGCCAAGGTCCTTTAAACCCTAACAAAACACTTCCTTTTGCAATCCAACACTTTCCCCTCAAGCCGACGTCATGGGTATGTGGAGGTGGAATGTAGACACCCCAATTAAGCTAGAATATTTCAGGCAGGAGTTCGTAATCCCTGCCGATGTTCACCTCAGGTTGGCTGGGGAAGAGGACTTCATCATGCCCAAGGACGACTCTATGCCTTTTCCAGTTGTAGCCTTCGTAAAGTGTGGACTTAGGCTCCATCTCGATATCCTTTTCTGAGAATTCCTTCACTATTATAAACTCAATCCAATGCAATTAGCCATTAATTCTTACAGAGTCATCAACGGTATTATCGCCTTAGCTAGCCGAGAAAATGCTAGGGTAACTGTAGCCGACATCCAGCACTGCTTCACCATGTGTGGACTTAAGTCAGAAAAATGCTACATTTGCTACCTTAAGCCGAGGTCGATAGCATACAAACTCATCGCCAACCTCCCTAATTCCAACAAGGGCACTGGGAACGATTACTTCATCGTCTCGGGCAATTGGGAGTTCCTTCCAGATGATGACCTTCACCTCTACCCTCTAAGTCGTACATTGTTTAGAGAGGGGGATGGTAAGAGCCAAGTGTTACCTTTACTTGCTTTCAAATCTTTCTTACTTTGATATTCTTGTATATTCTAACGTATGTATGTTTTATTTTGAAGTTCTTCCTCAACCTCCAAAGGACTTCTGCAAAAACTTCTATCCCAGTAAGGATTTTAAGAAGTTGTTGGGTTTGCCAGTTGAGCAACAGAAAGCTCCTTTGCTGCTCAACTACACCCCAACTTACAAGTCGGCACTACCCGACATCCCGAGAAAAAGCAAGTCTCCTCATTCAGCAACAACTCCTGCTACAACTTCATCACCTCGGCCAGATCAGGGATCAACCTCTGATCCAGCAAAACAGCTATCAACCTCGGCTCCACAACTAATCCCACCTTCTCAGCGCAAACGCTAATGTTATATTGTAGCTGCTGTCGAGATGGGTCGTAAGAAGGCTGTAGCAGACGACCTTCTAGTCGACATCCCCGACACTGTCACCGTACAACCTTCACCGTCCCAGTCTCAGCCAAAGCCAAAGCCAAAAAGACTAAAGAAAGCCCAACCTAAGGCAACGGTAACTCAGATCGACTCTGAGGACACCTTGCCAATCTCCAAAATAGTTGAGGCGGAAAAAAGTACCCCCGCCGCCGAGAAGAGGACCACCAAGGTTGCTCTCTCTGAATCAACCCGGTCAAAGAAGCCAAGGTCAGAGTCTGCGACAACCTCGGCGTCCATGAAATTTGATGTCCCCTGGGCCCCTCTAATCACCATTAAGGACAAGCCAGTCAGAGTTGGCGATAGCGCGACTGACATTGAAGTCAGCATTGCCCTCTTTACTGCCTTGCTCTTTCCAAAAGACCTCGAGCGCAACGCCAAGGTCAGCGAATACAAAAATTTTGCTCTGCAGTTGTAACACTCCGTACAAGTAAGCCCCTAAGACTTGGCACTTTTTACTTATTCCATACTTAGAGTTTTACTAACTTTGTTTTTTCCCTTTCTTCTAGGCAATCCAGCAAGCCCACTCCTTCGCAATGCAGGCCTTTGAAATTAAGAAGGAGTTGGCTCGCAAGACGAAGGAGGCTGCTGGCTTGCTCAAGACCATAAATAAGGTCGAGGCTAAGATGAAGACTTTAGCAGATCAAGCCAAGGTAGCAAAACAAGCCCAAGACGAGGCCGAGGAGAGAACAGGCACTACTGAGGCCATTGTTAAGGTCCTTGAAGCTGAAAAAAAAGAGGCCGAAGCGAAGACTGCCAAGGCCCAAGCCAAGCTCATTGTTGCCTTGGCCACAAAGGACGCCGAGATCAAAATGGTAGATGAGAAGGCGTATGCTGAGGAGGCAGCAGACGTCAAAGAAGACTATAAGAAACAAGTAAAGTAGGCATGCAACAAGGGTTTCACCCTTGGTTGGATGGCTGCTTTGAAGGAGTTGGCTATCCCCGAGAACTCTCCTCTCAAGAATTCCAGCAACCTCGTCCTACCATTTCCTCTCTCTCCAAGCCAGTCCGAGGAGAGGCTGAGTCCGAGGAGGAAGCTAAGGCCGAAAAATCCGAGAAGGCTGTGGATGCTAGGGCCAAGTCCTCAACTCTAAATGAGCAAGTCTTGGGCTTAACTCAGGATGAGGCGGGCGAGGTCTCAAAAGATGCCACCCTTGAGAAGACATCATTTGACGCGCCTATTGCCGAGAAGAGCATCGACCAAACTCTCCAAGAGATCGATGCTGAGCTCGTGGCTGAGAAGGCTGCCGAAAAGAGTTCTCAGATGTCTTCCAAGCCCCAAACCGATCCAGCTGATGATGCCGAATAGTCTAATCTTGAAGCTTTTCCGCTGTACTTAGTACTTTTTTCTTTTTGAACAATGTTTAGCTCTTTATTTGGCCGATGTGCCTTTTTGTAATCTGAACAATTGTTCTTCAATGTCAAGTCAAAGTGTCTTATTTCCTTATCTGAATGCATTCTCTAATTTCTTCTTTCAATGTGATTGTATGTTTGTATGCTTTACTGTTTTCATACTTAGAATATTTTGCATGTCTTTAGTTTATGCCTTTCTTGTATAGTCTCCTAGGATTAACATACCTCGGACAAAACTTCCAATCTTCTTTATCTCGGCCTTGGCTTAATCACTTGAAAACATTGTAAAAAATATTTTCACAAATGCTATATAAAACCTGCCACTTTACTTTTACTTAACAAGACTTCTATCTACAAATATCTTCCAGGTTTTGGCAATATGGTAATCTCGACAAGTACGTAGATACTTCTTTCAACATAATCTTGGCTTAATTTCAACTTGTAAATTTTTTCTTAAAATTTCAACAAGTGTTAAACCATCATTCCTTTAGCATGACCTCGGCTTAACTTTAACTTGTAAATTTTTTTTAAAATTTCAACAAGTGTTAAACCAGTCTTTAGCTTGTAAATTCCAACTCCCAAGCATCATTCTTCCAGCCCTCTGCCCTCTAATGTGAACTTAAATTCCACTTGGGTTCTCATTAAGCATGTGGCTTTCACCTCGTCGCCGAGGTGAGATTCAAACAAAGACTGGCCGAGGTTACTAACCTTGGTCTCTCTGTTTAATCTATATACTTAGTTTTAATCTGTGTTTGACTCTGCTGATATGGCAAGTCCAAGTTAATTCAACTAAGTTCAACTCTATTATATGCAAGTAGAAAAACTCTGTCATATAATAAGTCTAAGTTATTCGTCATGTTTCAATCAAAAACATCGCCAACTTAGTTCAACTCTATTATATGCAAATATAATTCAACTCTGTCATATAATAAGTCTAAGTTACTTGTCATGTTTCAATCAGAAATATCGCCAACTTAGTTCAACTCTATTATATGCAAGTATAATTCAACTCTGCCATATAATAAGTCTAAGTTATTCGTCAAGTTTTAATCAGAAACATCGCCAACTTAGTTCTACTCTATTATATGCAAGTATAATTCAACTCTACCATATAATAAATCTAAGTTATTCGTCATGTTTCAATCAGAAATATCGCCAAATGACTGGTCAGTCATACTACACAAGTTTAAAAATCAAGCTAAGACTTTATTATTACTTCGGCTAATAACAAGAAACTTAAAAAACAAAAAATCTAATGATAGAAAAACTTTAGATTGCAAGTATTCCAAGGTCTTGGCAACTCTTTGCCTTCACTGTCTTCAAGTCGATATGCACCATTGCCCAGGACCAAGATGATTCTATAAGGTCCCTCTCAATTTAGGCCAAGCTTGCCCTCTCTGGGATCTTTCTTGTTGCCGATGACCTTTCTCAAGACGAGGTCCCCAACTTGGAACTCTCTTGGGTTGACCTTCTCATTATAAGCCTTAACAAGCTGCTACTGGTAGGCCCCCAACTGAATTGCTGCTTTCTCCATTCTTTCTTCTAACAGATCCAGATCTTGGACAAGAATGCCTCATTGGTCCTGTTTTCCACTCCTTGGGTTCTGATCCTTGGGATGCCGACCTCCAGTGGAATAACTGCTTCTGTGCCATAGGCCATGGCAAATAGGGACTCCCCAATTGATCTTCTCGGCGTAGTCCGATATGTCCAGAGTACATTAGATAACTCTTCCACCCACTTTCCCTTTGTTGCTTCCAGCCTCTTCTTGATCTCATCTAAGATAACCTTATTGGAGACTTCTGCTTGACCATTACTCTGAGAAAAGCTTGGAGTAGAGTAATAATTCTTGATTGTGTACTTTGCATAGAAGCTCTTGATTAGCTTATTGTCAAATTGCATACCATTGTCTGCTATTATTGCCCTTGGGATCCCAAACTTGGTAATGATGTTCTTCCATATGAAGTTCTTCATATCAACATCTCGAGTTTTTACAAGAGGTTCAATTTTTACCCATTTGGTGAAGTAATCTGTTGTCACTAGCAGGAACTTCCTTTGTCCAATTACTTGAGACAATTGTCCAACAAGATCCATTGGGCAAATGGCCAAGGGCGAGACACTGGGTTCAAGTCCGCTGTTGGTTGATGTATTAAAGGTGCAAACCTCTGGCACTTCTCACACTTCTTGACATAAGCTTTAGCATCTTTCTGGATGTAGGGCCATCAGTACCCCTGAGTAATGGCCCTATGAGCAAGTGACATGCCCCCAGCGTGGCTTCCACATACTCCTTCGTGTATTTCATATAGAAAGTCTTTAACTTATGAAGGATGCACACACCTCAAAAAGGGTCCAATAAAAGATTTTCTGTAGAGGTGTCCCTCCGCTGTTAAACTGAACCTTGTTGACTTCAGCTTGATCTTGTGTGCCTTTTTGTGATCATCTGGCAGTTTCTCATCTCTGAGGAATACTATTATGGCATCCATCCAACTTGGTCTCATCTTTACACATATTGCTTCATGCTCTGTGTTCAGTGGTTCTATGCTTGGACCTAACAAGTAGTCAACCATTATCGTCCTTGCCTCTCCAGGTTTCATTGCATTAGCCAGGTTGGCCAGAGCATCAGCATGGTTGTTGTCATCTCGGCTAACCTACTGTAGTCAGCAATTCTGGAATAAGGCTACCAGTCTGCCCACCTCCTTTACATAGGCCGACATCCTTTCATCTCAGGTTGCGTATTCGCCTGTTGCCTGGTTAACGATAAGCTGGGAGTCACAGAAGACTATTACCTTGTCAGCTTTCATTGCTACTGCCAGCTTTAATCCTACGATCAGTGCTTCATACTCTGCTTCATTGTTTGAGGCTTTAAACCCCAAACAAATGGATTGTTCCAGTATTTGCCCATCTGGCGATACTAGCACTACTCCTGCTCCCACTCCTTGTCGGTTTGAACTTCCATCAGCAAACAGTCGGAAGGAGTCGCCGATGTAAACACTGCATGGCCTGAGTTTTTCTTCCTTCCTTTGTTCTGCTATCCCCAGCTGGGTTTTTACTTGTTTACTTGGACGTCGTATACCTCGGCTCAACGGAGCCCGATGTATGATGGCGCCTGGTGTGAACTCGGCCACGAAGTCGGCCAAAACTTGGCCTTTGATTGTTGTTCTGGGTCTAAATTGCAAGTCATATTGGCCCAACACCACTGCCCATCATGCTATTCTACCTGTTAGATCTCTTTGCTGCAACAAGGACTTCAAGGGATACTCAATTAACACCACAATTTTGTGGGCTTGAAAGTAATGATTCAACATCTTAGAAGCCATTACTAAAGCCAGTGTTAGCGTCTCCATGGGTAGGTATCTGGTCTCAGCATCAACTAGGGTTTTACTCAGGTAGTAAACTACCCTTTGCTCTCTCTTTTCTTCTTTGATTATTAATGCACTCACTGCATGCTCTAAAACTGCCAAGTATAAGAACAGCTCCTCTCCAGGTACTGGATTTGAGAGAACTGGAGCTGTGGTCAAATACTTCTTCAAGTCTGCCAAGGCGACTTCGCACTCTTCTGTCCATAAGAAGTCTGTGGCTTTCTTCACTTAGCTGAAGAAAGGTTTACATTTGTCAGAGCTTCTACTTATGAATCAATTCAGGGCTGCAACCCTTCCAGTCAACATCTGCACTTGCTTTGCTGATGTTGGGCTCTTTAATTCTAAGATGGCCTTGATCTGATTCGGGCTAGCCTCAATGCCCCTTTTGGTAACCAAGTATCCTAAGAACTTATCAGACCCAACTCTAAATGCACACTTCGATGCATTGAGTCGGAGCCGATATGTTCTAAGGATGTCAAAAACTGTCTTTAAGTCTTCCAGATGATCCTCAAGTTCCTTGGTCTTCACGACCATGTCATCTATGTATACTTCCACTGTTCTGCCTATTAGATGCCTGAATATCTTGGTCACCAATCTCTGATAAGTTACTCCTGTATTTTTCAACCCAAAAGGCATTACTCTATAGCAATATAACCCTTTTGGGGTGATAAATGCAGTCTTTTCCTCATCTGGGGGGTGCATGGCTATCTGATGGTACCCCCTGTAGGCGTCTAGGAAGCTCATCCTTCCATGCCCTAAAGTTGCATCCACTAATTGGTCAATCTTGGGTAATGGGAAACAGTTTTTGGGACAAGCCTTGTTTAGGCTAGTGAAGTCCACGCAGACCCTCCATTTCCCATTCTTTTTCTTCACAACCACCGTGTTTGATAACCATGTCGGGTAATTTACCTCTCAAATGGCTCTGGCCTCCAGAAGTTTATCCACTTCCTCTTCTACTGCCTCAACATGTATCAACGTCGGCCTTCTTGCTCCCTGGATGACAGGTTTAGCCGACCTGTCCACATTCAGTTTATGGCAAGTGACATCGGGGTCAATGCCAGGCATCTCGTACAGTGTCCAGGCAAACACCTCAAGGTTTGCTCTTAAGAATGCCTCTAATTCTTTTTCCTCCTCCTCGGTCAAGCCTAAGCCGAAAAGGAAGAAGCGCTCCTCATCCCCTTGCTGGACCAGGATCTTCTTTAGGGCTTCCTCATTTTTCTCGGCTGGTTCCTTGCCGACGTCCCCAAGGACCTTCGTATCCTTATCTTTAATCTCTGTTGTTTTTGCTTCTCGTATGTTGCAGGTGGATTTCATTACTACCATGGAACAATTCTTTGTCTGCACTTAATCTCCTCTAACTTCCTCAATTCCCTGTTCTGTTAGGAATCACAACAACTAGTGCAATGTTGAGGGAACAGCCCCCATTGCATGCAGCCATGGCCTTCCCAAGATAGCATTGTAAGGGGAGGGGGTGTCAATTATGGTAAACTCTATTTTTATCTTCTTGGTTCCAACCTGCACCTCTAAACTTACCGCTCCCAAGGGTCATGTTGGCATTCCGTTGAACCCAACCATTGGGCCATTGGATTGCTCCAGATCATCTTGGTGAAGGCCAAGCTCCTTGTAATACCTGACATACATGATGTCACAAGAGCTGCCCAGGTCAATTAAGATGCGTTTCATTTGGCATTCTCTAATCTGGAGGGATATTACCAAGGCATCGTTGTGTAGATGCTGC